TTTAGCGTCTACTGCGTCTTTCATCCTGTTCAGCCAAACTCTGTTAAAGACTTTTCCTGGTACTGACGGTAGTGTAATGCCTCTGTAGTTTTCACACTTGCTCAGATCTCCTTTCTTTGGAATCTTGATGAGGTGTCCTTCTTTCCAATCCATCGGCACTTGTTCCTCCTTCCAAATCTTCTTGAATAGAAGATGAAGCATGCTTGTAGTTATTTCGATGTCTGACTTCAGTGCTTCAGCTGGTATATTGTCAGGTCCTGCTGCTTTCCCGCTCTTGATTTGTCTGATGGCCATTCGGATTTCTTCGGTCGTTGGTGGATTGACATCTATAGGAAGATCTGTGTGTGCTGCTTCGATGTCCGGTGGATTCATTGGAGCCGGCTTATTCAGGAGTTCCTCGAAGTACTCTACCAATCTGTTCCGCTGTTGTTGAATCTCAGTAATCGTTCTTCCTTCTTTGTCTTTGACTGGTCTCTCTGGTTTACTGTATTTCCCTGCTAGCTTCTTCGTCGTATCGTAAAGCTGTCTCATATTTCTTTCTCTTGCAGCTTTTTCCGCCGTCGTTGCTAGTTCTTCCACGTATTTTTGCTTGTCAGCTCTAATGCTCTTCTTCACTTTCTTGTTTGCTTCTATGTACTCAGCTTGTGCTTGGACTTTCTCTGCTCTTGTTCGACTGTTGTTAATTGCTGTCTTCTTGTTCTTCCTTTCTTTGATCTTGTCTAGTGTTTCTATAGAGATCCATTCCTTGTGATGATGTTTCTTGCTACCCGAAATCTCTTGACACGTTGAAGTTAATGTTTCTTTGATACCTTTCGAGTTGTCCTCCATAGTAGTTTCTTCCTTCAGTAGATCCTGTAAGGCTTGGAACCTATTGTTGAGAGCTATTTTGAATTCATTGAGTTTGTCAGTATCTCGAAGGAAGGCTGTATTGAACCTTTGTAGTGCTGTTTGTCCAGTTGTCCAGTTCTTCTTTAGCTTCAGTTTCAATTTGGCCACAACCAGGTGATGATCTGAAGCTATGTCCGCTCCTCTCCTGGTTTTTACATCTTCCATTGTCCTTCGGAACTTTTTATTGATGCAAATGTGATCTATCTGGTTCTCTGTGATGTGGTGTGGTCCGGTGAGATCCACGTAGCTTTGTGTATACGTTTGTGTGGAAATGTTGTACCGCCTATGACCAATTTATTGAATGCACACAGATTTTCAAATCTTTCCCCGTTTTCGTTTCTCTCTCCCACTCGATGTAGTCCCATGATGTCTTCATATCCGGTGTTGTCCATTCCGACTTTGGCGTTTAGATCTCCCATCAGAATGGTGAAGTCCTTTCTTGGGCACTTCTCTATGATTGATTGCAGCCTCTCATAGAATTGATTTTTAATGTCGTCGTTGCTCTGATTGGTGGGTGCATAACATTGGATAATGTTCATTGTGATCCCCTCCTTCTTTGTTTTGAATGATGCTTTGATGATTCTGGATCCGTGAGATTCCCATCCTACCAGTGCATTTCGTGCTACTTTGGATAGCATTAGAGCAACTCCCTGAGTGTGTGGGGCATTTCCCTCTTTGTGACCGGAGTATAGCAGCATCTCTCCCGTATTTAGCCTTTGTTGTCCAGCTTGGGTCCCATGGGTTTCGCAGATTCTGAGTACTGCCAAGTTGTATCTCCTCATTTCCGTTGCTATTTGACTGGTCTTTCCTGTCTCCCACATTGTCCGAACGTTCCATGTACCTATAAAAATTGTTGCTCTGGTTGTTAGAAGGGGCATCGGCCTCATGGCTTCCGAAGGAACTCGGCTTTCACCATGAAGCGTCATATTACCTCTATCTCCCAGGGCAGAGTTTAAATGGTTTGAGTTATTTTTTCTGGTTAGCGTTATTTTAGCGAGTTAGGTTTCTACGGGATGGGGACGCTAACCCCATGCCCAACCCTCCTCCTTTACCCGGGCTTGGGTCCGGCAGTAACTCTGGAAGAGCTACAGGCGGAGTTCCTAGACGTTTAACTAATAATTAATATCTACATGGGTTAATCGCAGACGATTTACTCGTGATAACTGTCGTAATAAAGGCAGTTTACATGGACTCTCATCACCCTGAGCGTCGTATACATATCATTCGAAGATATCTTATTGACTGAATTATCTTCTGTTGTGCGTATTGCCTCAATATTGTCATAGGTTACAATACGCACAGTATGCATATATGAAAATAAGAGACTTATCAATTTCAGACCTTAAAATCAATGGGGATATTCAAGTAAACAATACTAAGTGAACTTAAACTTCACCTCATTTCACAAGAAAGTGGCTACCGGTGCTCAGTAGTCAAGTGAATAACACGATGGCTCATGAGGAGAATGGCACTGGGCTCGAGTCTCGGAGTGAACATCGTTTCGGGTACAGGTGCACCTGGTCAACGAGTTGCGAACAGAACAATATGTGTGGCTGGGATTCCACTGCTGGCCACCACCCATATTTGCTTATAACTTTATTCTGTGTTTTCGTTATAATATTTATCACTGTTTACCCCTCAGCATTTAACTCACACCATATCAACCATTTTCATACACCTCATGTTTCTAAACAGTCTGATATTCTATACATTTTGTTTATCTAGTCTTTAATATTACTGACCTTTCAACCTAAAGATTATATCGTTTCTATGACTCTCAATAAAGTGCCAATTATCACTACAGAAGTGAAATATATCTTCAAACAAATCTTCAAATGGTGCATGGTTCTATCATGACCATAACTAATATAGTAAAAGTAAGAATATTAGTATTATTCGTGTTTAAACAGGTAGAAATATATAAGGTACCGCCGATTGCTATCTTCTTGTTTCTATGTACTATTCATTATCATTCATTTGTATCCACACGTTATGGCAGTTATTGTTACAATTATGATCACTAGATATTGTATGTTCTTTTACAATGTTAACAGTTGAATTCACGAGTTGATCTAAGCTAGATTACTATTGAAAATCTGGAAGTGCTGGACAGCGGTTTTCTCTGAGTATGGGATTACTTCTCATTTCGTATCCACGATTCTGTATTCAAGACCTTCAGTCCGACGTTAATACTGAACTTCTAGACCACTGTGCCAGCATCCAAAAGTATTATTGTCTAACTTCAGCCAATTCATGACATTGCGCGACCATATTCCATTGTTTTCGGTAGGTAACTGCCTCACATCCAACAGGGTTCAATTTCACTGATCACGGCTTCTTACTAGAACTCGGAGAATCGCCTCCATCTTAACTAGTCATTATTGAGCACATGATAATTATCTGTTTGGTTTTGTGAAGAGATTTTCGATGGTAGTCTAACACTGATTGATTTATGATTTCAATGAAATTAAACAATCCACACAAGCTGAAACTAAAAATTCGTCTTTATGCCAGACCTTTTTAATATAATCATTTTATTAATGATGGTTAAAATTATTTGTGGGGTGTAGGCATGTGAAGAGAATAATGGAAATATTTTAGTTCATCTAACTGTAATACAATCATTGTTCTTACTTTTTTAAACATTTTTGTTCCAGGGATTAATACTCCAATTATTTGTCTAGCAGATCATGTTCCACACAGAAATAATACAATTGAGTATTGAACTGACCATAAGTCAAGTAAATGTTTAGTTACATTAGATCCAATAATATGATTTAGTTTAGGTGGAGTTTTGCTCGATGTGCTGCATTGTTTAGTGGAATACTTTGTAATATGTTATTCAATTATATGATTAAAATCCGTATGTAATCGTTTAGCTTGCATTGTGTTCAAACTATCCTTCAACAACTGATTCAGTTCAACTTTGTTTAACTCAGAATTAAAATTATTCAACAGAATAGTTGATTCTGTTAAAGGAAAACTACTGACATTAGAGTAGGCGGAAATTCACCATCTTTCAAAAGCTTCATAATTATAAGCTGTCTACATGGAAATACATGAATTGATCTTGCCAGATCAACGTGATGACACTTACCATTATCCCAGTAGTACTAGAATCATATTAACTAGTAAGTATAATCAGTTTTAACATACCATGCGCCTGATCACACGTGTGAAATACGAGCGAAACTGAAGTTCCTAAAACAACGATTTGTCTAAAAGACGGTTCTTCATCGATGAATAGAAAGAAATTAGTTACAAACCTCAACTTGTGAGGTATCAGTGGCGCTTAGAGCGTTTGTCAATCTGGGAGAAAAATGGCTTTCCGAGATGATAACGTAACGATTAATTATGATATACGATACCCTTTACCAACGAGCAAAATGTTAGCTAGAAATAAAACAAATATGGAAACCATTACACTTAAATAAGGATTCAATGACCACGAAATTGATAATAACTGATATAAGGGATTGAGAGAAGGTAATTATAATGATAAATGTAGTAAATGTAATCAATATATGTAAATATTTTATAGTATTACATGACACATAACAATAGCACACGTGTAGAAATTGTTATCAAAGCAACTAGGATGAAACAGTCGTCCAATGCTTCCAGGTTTTCCATGTTGGTCAAGCTTTAATTAACTCATGAATTCAACTATTACATATTAATAAGTAGTATAACTCAAAACACAAAAAACGAGGATATGGACATGGAACGAAATTAGACTTATCAAGTTGTATTTCCGAAATTTCTTTCGATTTTGTTTATAATGTTTTATGATCAGAATTAGATATTAATGTTATTATATCACAACCTAAAATATGCCAATACAGCAATTTGACCAAGAAATTATTATTCTATAGTGATTTTCCATTTTCATAACTATAATTCATATAGAACTATATGATCTATTTAATATAGACGTTGTACATAATTCTACATGCACTTTCCCAGCTACATACTTATATACAATTAAGTAATGATAGTATGTTATTATACAATAGAATGATTATTTTTATAATTAGTTAAATATTACCGGAAGTATCTTATTAAGTAATACATATAAATATAGAAGAAAATAATTAAACCATTCGGAAATAATGAAGATTTTTGGCATCATTAATACTGACATGTTCAATATTTTTGTATATTTTAATATTGTGCAATTTGTATCATGTTAGTAAGTGATGTGTGTTAAATTATTTTTTGTTTTAAATGGGTTTGTTTGTTTTATTACTTTTAAAAATCAAATTCATTTGAATTATATGTAAATTGACAAGGGTAAAACATTTAACAAAAAGAGTTCACTGTATATTATTAAACTTTCTTAATTCGATTAATTCATTGCAAATCATGATTATCTTAATAGACTTCACTTGTGATTATTATTTTTCAATTTGATAATTTATAAATTTGAATGTTATCTAATTTTCAAATTGTCTAAGACTAAATAATCCATCTTATCGACAAAAATGTATAGTGGTTAACAGTGGAATTCAAGACGTGCATTTTGTTCCATTTGAGACTCATCAGCTTGATGTACCTATATTCAAAAATTGATGTTCACATCTAGCTGACAAGTCGCGAATAGAACAAAACTCGCATCCTGGATTCCATTGTTAGCCATCATTCATCTTTGCTTAAAAAGCTTGTGACAATCTGCACAGGATGTACATATGCCAACATGTGATTGCTCAATTGTAGTCATAAAGAACAATGGAAAGATACAAACAATCCTCCTTATCGGTTATTATTATTTTGTTAAATAGAAAATATTAAATGCACCTTATTCAGTTGAATGATTACAAATTTACATGGATGTTTCTGAGATAGAATCAAACAAAAGTTACACTAAATGTATATTCACTATTACTATACTTAATTATAAACGTTAACTCTGAGCTTAACATATCGAAATTTCGATATTTATCCTCTATTATATTTGTACGAATCAATTACTTCAAGGTGTATTTTATTTCAATAACACTTAAATATAAGATTCACCAGTTCAATATGGAATTTTAAGAAGAGATATATTTTATTGTTGTTTTATTTTGTTAAAAGTTTACTTGATTGTTTTATTGTCTCATTCTCTTGATAGAGATGGGTAACAATAAATAAAGAAATTTAAAGTAACTATAAGAAACTTATAATGTAAATATTTAATGTAAATATTGATTAACAAAATAATAGGAAGGTTTCCATTTGGATTTTATTAATGAATAACTTTATTTATACATAATTCCATTATCGATTTATTTGGAAAATATTTACTTATTTGTATATACATTTCAATGAGCTATTAATATAAATTAATTTAATATGATTTTAATTTGAACAATATTTATCGATTTGTTTTAAGTTTTGTTTCTATGAGGTATATATATATAATCAAAGTATAAATACACAAATGGTAGATACCAGATATGAAAAGCGTAGAATTCGATAAAATCACTGCATAAATCCTACCTAGTTACAAGAAAGATAAGAATATATTAGAAATGTCTTTTAAATAATAACCTAAGCTTATTAACATGAATTGTTATGATAATTAGCATATATACGAGACGAATCTGAACAATATGTAAACAATGATTGATAGATAGTTAATACTGACTAAATGTAAAACAAAGTTTTGTATTTACTTTTTTTCATACTATCCACACCAAGGAAGTAGATATTTACTCAGTTGTTGATAAAGTTATCCAGTAGCACGCTTAGTATACCCATCTTCATTTAAAGAAGTTTGATATGTGAACAGGCATTAGTACACAAACCTGATTATGTTTATTCCTATTCTGATCCCCCAGTATCCCATTTTGCATGAATTTCCAAAGTAATACAATTTATTTTGAATATTCCATCATGGTTTGTTAAATGTGTAATCAATTATGAAGTCAGTGAATGTGGATACTAAACTGTTATGTCATGTTTAAATATAGACAAGTCGTAAATTAGAGCATACCATTATAATTGGTTCATTGTTCTTACATAGAATTGCTTTTACCATTTTCTGATACTTATCCACGATTTTTCATTATGCCCAGAAATACATAGATAACTCCCACTGTGAATAATAAACTTTATATTTCCAATAAATGTTATAGTATCAGTATAGATGTTATGGAGATCATTAAGTTTTAGATTGAGATCATGAACTGATTGATGTTAGACCACCATTGAAAACCTAGAAGCACTGGACGGCCGTTTCGTCCTATTGTGGGACTCCTCAGCAGTGCGCATCCAAGATCCCGCTTGCGGGATTCGAATCCATGGCCTTCAGTCTCTCCCTGGGCTCGAATTCTGCGAGCAGGATCGTGAATTCGCACTACTGAAAAGTCTCACAGTAGGACAAAATAGCCATCCAGTGCTTTCAGGCATTCCATGGTGGTCTAGCTTCAATTGACTCTTTTTCTTAACTATTAAATTATAATTCACAAAATTCTAGAAAAGTTTCTTAACTATTGTTATTCCTATCTATTTTCAACTTGTTTACTTCATCTCTATTTCATGAATGTTTCATTTATTCAACTTTAGTTATTCTGTCAAAGAGGATAAAGAATTGAGTAAATTTTTCACTGATCTGTACAATGCAGATGTAAATGCAGTTGAAAATGGTAAAGATTATCTATTGAATTTACAAGGTAAGTTTGTTTAAATATCATAATGCTTACCTTTAATCATTTTGCTAATAAGAAATAGTACAGGACAAAATACTAAATCATATCTGCAAACTTTCATTCGATGTTCTGTTCATGAGAAAATGATCCTTTATTTATATGATCACTTTTATGTTATGAATAATCATTCAAATAACATTATGAAATTATTTTCTATGGAATTATTTTTATTTATTACATGCTTCACATGTCTCCCAGTACATTGCAGATAATCTGATATATACTTGAATGACAGCTAGCATATTTGGAATGGTTTTCACTCTCAGAGTGTTGAGAACCATAAATCAGTTATATTTTTAAATGTATCAATTGGAAAACAAAAAACGGTTCGAGTATTGAGAATTAGAAATCATTAGATAGCTATATTACTTATAATTTATATATAAATGGTTGATCATAAAACATTCAGATCTATGGAGACAAGATATTATTTCCTTATTGGTTGGGATGTAATGAACGATAGTTCATAACATATGTCAGTCTGATATATCGTGGCTCTCATTCAATGTATTCGGTAGGTAATTGCCACATTCTGACTTATTTAGTTTCTCACAAAGTCAACCAATATGAAATGGATAGCTGGTATTATATTTAATAATCCGATGTAAATGGGAGAAATAAGTACCAATCATAGTTGATGTATCACACTTATAATGATATACTTTCTAGTAGAACAATATAATACATGCTACTGATATTACTGATCAATTTATAATAATAAGTTGAAAACCTCAGTATCTCGCGAGGCGGGATCGTGGATGCATACTGCTGAGGAATCCCATACTAGGATGAAACGGCCGTCCAGTACTTCCAGGTTTTTCATTGTGGTCTAGCATCAGTTGAATCATGAATTCAACTATTAATATATTAAATTTGTAATTTTTTCGACAAAACTATGAATATTAAATAGTCTCTAGTTTGGTTGAGTGAATAACTCAGATTTGTACATCTAGTAGTGTTTGTAAAAAGTTAGAAATATCAAGTGATTTCCACTTTTTTTTCCTTTTTTTATAGGAAAACTAGCTAGAGGAATGGATTCGGTAGATTTGGCATCTAAACCATTGTTTGAATTTGTTAATGAAGAGATATTGGGGAAGAGACCCACTTTTGCAAGTATGTAACAAAGAATGACATTTGAATGGTGTAGATTTTTTTTCATTGACAACTTAATGATAATTTACACAAATATTCTTTATATCAGATTTACATTAAAAGTAGTGAATGGCGAACATAACCATATATTTCATTATATAAGGTAACGTTTATTTAATTCATGAGGTAATTGAGCCAGAAGCAAGATCTGATGATTGGATGATTATCATTTCTAAATGTTAAGTATAAAAATTGGATAGTCTGGAAGAATTGACCTAGAAGGAGATCATGGGATTTTGTTGGTGAAAAGGAAATTCAACTGTGACTTTATGCATCAAATTTATAATTATAATATTAGTTTGACAGCTTAGAAAAAAAAGCTATGCGCTAAAAATTTCTCCTTTAAAATGAAGAATAGGTCATTAATTTACTCATTGATCCATTTACAGTTGACTGAGATACGTAGGAGAATACTTCTGTTATCAAGTTTATGAAATATTCAGCGAGGACTGTTAAGCTTATTTGGGTCTGAAGTAAATTTATGACGAATATTAGGTTACAAAATTCACTGATTGAGGGAAATTACTTGTTTGAATTCATCAGTTTGAGACTGATAACTTTGTCTAGGAAATTAATAGAATGAGCTGTAGACATGACGATTAGAACAGTAAAGTGAATAATGCAACTTTCTGATCAAATAATTTCCAATACACATTAACTTGTATTATCAATATTTGGCTGACTACTATGTGAGCTTCGAAAAACGTATCATAACTTTTTGTAAGCAGTGATAAATAGTAGCTAGCAATAGAATCCAGGATGGGGGTTTCGTCCTATTTGGGACTCGTCTGCTGGATGTACCTGCATCTGAGTTGATGTTCACTTTGAGAGTCTAACCTAGTACCATTCGCTTCAAACGCCATAGAGTTATCCACTTACCTAATGACTCATGATAGCCACTTGCTTGTGAAATTGGGTGAATTAAAATTCACTTGGTATTGTTTGACTTGTATCTTCCCAATGTTATTTAGGACTGTAATAGATCAGTCTCTTATTGGCTCAGTAGCTAAGTAGATAACGCGATGACATTTGAAACGAGCGGTACTAGGTTTGACTCTCAGAGTGAATATCAGCTCTGAGATGCGAGTACATCCAGCTGTCGAGTCCTTACAAGACGAAACGCGCATCCTAGATTCCACTGCTATCCACTATCCATCATTGCTTATAATGGTTATGAATTAGGGCAATATCGAGTCAATCCGCACAGTATGCACATATGCCGATAACAGACTGATCAATTAAACTCTTAAACCTCAGTGGGAAGATATAAGCCAAACAATACCAAGTGAATATACCATAACGTTTACGAGAACTATGGACATTTCCAAGAACTATAAATAATGAAATTTTACAGCAAAACAGAATATTAAAAGTTTTGATTGAAAGGACAAATTAACTTCTGTTCATGACTAATTTCCAATAGTTGTATACCATCACTAACAATAACAGACAAAAGTCAGTTGATATGAAGAAGACCTAAACAAACATTTATTTTGCATGATTTAAATTTACTGAGATTTTGTAGAAATGTTTGAATAATAACTGATAAGTTGCTGAAATTAAGGTGTCAAAGATTGAAAAACTAAAAAAATTTACGATTATAATCTTTATATCTTGAGATTTTTATAATTCTCTATTATTACTCAATCAGTCATACGAGTATTTAAACAAGTTAGTGATGTAAAATGACTAACAATTAAACTTGAAATTATGTATTTACTATAGAATTCATTGCATTATTGGATAACTACAATCCTCAAGTTGGTGTCACTGAAGTTATCACAGAGCAACAACAAAAGGAGGAAGATGAGTTTATTAATGAATTATTAAAAACGGAAGTCATGAAAATGGCTTATAATTTCCTTATCGGAAAACAAAAAGTGTCAGGAGATATTAGAAACTTTGGAAAATTCTTGAAGGATTTGTGGTTCAAGCGATATGGACGTAGAAGGTGAGTATAGTATGATTTGACTACGATTGTTATATTGACCAATAGAATACTGATAGATTGATCATATAATATGATATGTTGTAGCTTAGTAAAATGTGGTCTCAAAAATGAATCTTTCGAGTTGTTATGCTAGGTAAAATCCTCTCATTTCCCATAAAATAAAAAATAAAATATTATATTAGTAGAATTTAATGCTAAAGATAAGTAAAGCATTTGTATTCAATCTGTTCACGAAATGCAACTATGAGTAGTTACCAAATTGAGTATTTCACTGAAAGCTTTTAATGAAATTGTCACTTGTCAGATACATTGTTATCAGTAACTTTTTCATGCTTCAAAAACATTGATGACTGAATTTCAATTAGGTGAATTTACCATTTGTATGCTGTTTTGTCGATAAAATCTCCACAAAAAACCTTCTGATGATATTAGTTTTATAGATTTTCCATATTCTACAGAATTGTTCGTTTCTTGATCTAATAATCTAGCTAGTTTTTATATATTTAGGCACCAGACCAGTAGGAGAAATTAACTGAACGCACCATTTATAGCTTATCATAAAAATGTATTCTCTTCGTTTTGATGAGGTGTTCTAGAATCTAAAACAACAGTTTGTCAAAATTTTTTCAGCCAGAAAGCTCCTAGAAAAGTTGGATAACTTAGTTCGAAGTGATTTAGTGGTGTATATACATGTGGATTCATTGAAAAATGGTTATGAAATTTTCAATTTCACTTGAAGCCAAAGCATTGCATGTATAATCTAATCCAGACATTTTAATTTTGAATTATACTGTGGTGTGATCTACTGGTATTGACACATATAAGTAGTATGTATCATCAGTCGAAAGTGAAATGCTTGGTGGCAAAAGGTTAAGAAGAGTGAAGAGAAGAGGACGAGAACATAGAATAGATGGTATGAAAACAAAGAAACAATCAAGTCTGAGACAATTGATTGACCATTTTGCAAACAAATTATTTACTATGTAGTTCTCAGATTTGATTAAGACATTTTGTAATTGTGTATAAAATAGATTTGGTTATCCCCGCCTGTGTTCTCGTTTACTACAATATTGATCTCATATTAAAATTAATGACACCCTCATTTTTAACAAAAGAATATATTGCATGATCCTTAACATAACTATTTAAGGTAGACTATTAATCATAAACATATTAATAAAATGTAAGTACAACATATCAACTGTTAGATCTTTCAGAATATATCAAAAGTAAACCAATGAAAGGTCACTTCTTTAGTATGTTCAAAGTACTTAACTGTGAGTGCAGTTATTCCCCTTCAACTAAAGTAATATCAGCCTACGGTAACAAGTTGAGATGAATAATTAATTCTGATGATTTATGGTTTCCCTTTTACATTTTTTAAAAAAAAATCTGATTTCATTCTATACAAAATATATAAAACATAAATCAATCAAATAATGAAGTCCATAAGATTCTTCTGCATTTGAACATGTATTTGTTGGTGAACATAAAAATTTTGATGTACTTGGATTACATAACTGGATTCAATTCTATTTAAAAGAAAAGAAAAATCAATTAAATTTTTTTGGATGGACTAGAAGAGTAAGAAATTTCTTTTTTTATGTTTGATAATAACGTTAGTAATTATTACTATACTGACGATGATTTAATAAAGAATTGGGGGAGACTCTAATTTATGGACGACCTTTCAACGAATCTTAGGTGACCCTGAGAATATTGGCCAATCGGCAAACAGTAAGTATAGAGTAAAAATATACTATGCAAAACCAAGGAAATAAAGTGGATATACTTCTTATACGTGGTTCAAGAACTTATCAAGGTTAGAAAAAGGTTCAGAGGCTCTAAAATCGTAATGCATGTAGTAGAGAAAATCATCCATACGGCTACAGAATAGTCGGCCTCTGGAGCCATGATAAAGTTTTAAAAAATCTTTCAGCCTCGACCACATAGATTCAATATTATTTATGTGCACTTCGGTTGTTGAGTACACAAAATGCTACTTGTGGATAACAACACGATGCACATAACCAAGCTTATGTTAGAGTCTGTACGCTCTCCAAACATCCGTATATATTTTAGTACCTGGCTGCAGCCAGTGTTATTGATGCTTTTAGGAATTATATATGGGGTTTTCATCACGAACTGACATCAGCTATAATGCCAGAAATTTATTTAGCCAAATGGATGAAAGGCTTTCGCGTTAAAATCCGAAACCTGTTATCTTATACCTGATTGATTCATCCACAAATTATAGTCTCACCGTTGTATTTGTTATAGCCGCTCAATTATCACGTTTTGTACAAAATTCCTTGTGAACCGATCGTACGTTAGCATTAAGCACTGAAGTTGGCGCCGTAACCTTGAAATCTCTAAAACGCTTCTGATTGGCTCGTCCATAAATTAGTCTCGCCAAGAATTGATATCATCCGAATGGTAAAGTATTATGTGACTATGGTTGCATTTACAGGACTATACAACTGGTATTTACTATTAGATCAATAAAACTGCTCTAATACATGTATGTATACATAATAGTCATCTACTTACGCTTATGTTAACCTTTATGTAGGATATATTTATTAATAATCTTACATATAAATGGTACTTATGGTACCATACAATATTGAAAATTATCTATTATGAAACATCAGAAAAGAATAAAATAAATTTTATAAGGTTTCAATGACATTAATGATGTTTATGGTTGACTAGTGGAGGATAATATTATGAACCATACAAAATACCTCTTTAATAAAAACTCTAAGAAAACAGTTATCAATTCATAATAAACGTGGAATAATTATTATTTACTAAGCTGGTATTAACAAGGTCATAAAATGTTTTAAACAGTTAATTGCTGTGTTATTCAAGCTATAAAACAGTGAAAATTGAAATTATTTAGTGAGTTAGCGCAGTTATAATGATTTTTTTCAAACGTTTACATGTGTTTTGATATTTATCCACTACATCATGTCACCTGTACAATGCTTTACAGATGTTTCCAGTTTTTATTTATTCTTTTCATGCATACTTTCAATTCTCGACGCAGTGTGTTCTTTAGTCCTCCTCTTTTCCATTTCTCTTCACCATTCCAAGTTAGTGCTTGCTTTGTGATGCAGTTTGTTGATTTCCTTAATGTATGTTAGATCCATTTCCAATGTCTTTTCCTAAGTTCCTCCTCAGTTGGAACCTGGTTTGTTCTCTTCCGCAGTAGGCTGTTGCTGATGGTATCCGACCAACGGACATTGAGTACCTTACGTAGACAATTGTTTAGACATACTTGTACCTTTATGATGATAATTATTATAATTCTTGAAGTCTCAGCTCCATACGGTTAAACTGTGTTGACATTCGTATTGACGGTTATGAATTTGGTATTGGTTGGCAGTTATTTTGAGTTCCATATGTTGCTCAACTGTAAGGATGTTGTTCTTGCTTTGCCAAGCCTCGTCTTCACATCTGCATCAGATCCTCCTTGTTCATCGATGACGTTATCCAGATACGTGAAATTTTCCACCTCTTCCAGAACGACTGGGTTTGTGTACAAAACTCACAAACTCAAGTTATATTTGACTACTGGAAAAAATATTGCTCTAAATGCAAAACATTTATGTAATTTAGATGTTTTTAATTACGTAATTTTTAACGATATAACTAATGTTTTGTATTAAATTCTAACTACAGTTTTGTAAAGATCAACTTATCACTGTAACATATGTCAATGAAAATAAATATAAAAAGCCAATGGGAAGTGTTTTTGTTGGATCATCTCCAGAATTCGATATTGCTGTTTATACGGTCGCTTTTGCACTACATCCTACATCTGTATTTGACGTGAATATCGCTGGATGTAAAGTACGTATAACATGTCATGAATTGTCTCCCTCTGAAATGGGTACATGTTATATGGGGTAAACAATATATGTATCTGAATAAACATTTGTTTTCAATAACCTTAAAAGCAATAGCAAACTTAAGTTTAATATGCCATTTGATAAATTAATATTCCGGAAATATATAATTTTGTTGAAATTCCCTTACCTTTTATTGTATTACAAAATAAGTAGAAACAGAAAAACTTTCAGTAAAAGTAACACTTTTAAGACGGTTCAAAATATAACAAGGTAAGGAAGAGGATTTTGAATAAATTATATTACTTTTGTGCTCACGTGACTACAGTATGTAACTGAGTGCACAATTTTTTTGTGGTTTCGCATGCCTTAGCTTATCAAAACTGAATAGTACAAAAGTGAACAAAACATTAAGACACATTTACATCAAGATTAATAAAAAACATACTGAAGTGACAAAATATCATTGACTGGTTACCTAATAATCAAACATCGAGTGATTTGAAGCAGTGAAATGACAATATTGTAAATAACAAGTGTCGTATTTAACATGAAACAGTATTTACAAGTCTAGCTAGTCCATTTCCTAGAGTTTGATATATACAAAAAAGATTGCAATACTACTGTTCTTTTGTTTTATTTAACTATGAATAATCCAAATATAATTCTCAACAGCTTTGATTCTACCATAAAACTAACGATTGAACCACAATGAAAGACAAGTTCCATTTTCTAGATTTCTATGAGTTTCGAACAAATCACGTAACTTGTCAAAAGTATGTACTTGAGAAACAGACCTGTCATACGTTTGCCTTATGAGTTATGAATATGGGTTGGATGGATCATTCTACTAACAAGTCAGGAATTTATACTCACCAGAAAAGTTAAGGGAAGAGTGTAAAATGAAAAATAATTGTGCTTAAGATAATTAGTACTCTTGGACACTTATGAAGAAATATACAGCTGAACCCAAACCTAAAAGGAAACTGATTTTTCGAATTGACATTCAAAGGCAGTCAAATCATGAATAAAATCAAGGTTTTAAATAATAAGTTTCTGATGTGATGGGATAAAATGACAAATTACATTCTGCGAAATTGTTTTCACTGTATACTGTAGTGGCTGGTAGTATGTCGGGCTCACCACTTTTACGGTGCCGTGATTTGACTCCAATTAGATCATATGAATATGCTATGGACATAAATCTTCCATTTAAATCCATATATTACCTAGACTAACCCCGTTTGTGTGACGGCGGTAATAAGAAGCCGAATACGAGGTGAGTCGGAGGGGTTGTCCAAACAGACGTCCAGAATAGGAAACGGAGCGGAGAAGGAGAGTAAGCCAACTCCTTGTAATAAAGGGTGAATTGATGTTTATAGTCAGATAAAAATAAGCTGCAGACGTGATTGGTAGGATAAACAATACACACACATGCACTCATGTAAAAATAGTCAAGGTTAATAAACCAATAAATGACAGGGCCTAACTGTAACTTGAAAAGAATGAATAAATCGGTTTATCCGGAAGCTAGAATAAACTATGTGGACTTGAAATAGTACCAGCCACCATAATACTAAGGGATGCTCAACAAAACATACGAAGTGAAATAATAATCTTCACAAGTCAATTCTGACTGCAAATATCAGCTTGCATGTATACTCAAATGTATGTACATCGAGATGTAAAGATAAACATCCGCACATTATGTTGAGTATACTCCAAATAACCGCTGATTTTGAGGACGAAATATTTTCCCTAATTTGATAGCATGATGTCTACTTGAGACGGTACACAAAGTGGGTGTGATGAATTTATTCGAAATAATCGGTAAGCAACCCAACTCTATCTGACTAGGGTTGGCAAAAGCGGTAGAAATCAAAGGGCTTAAGCCTGGCCCTTGTATGCAAAAATAACCAGTTGCTGACCATGATTCGCCTAGGAAACCAAAACACTTTAATGTATTTTCTTAATCTTATTTTCAGAATTGAAACTACGAGTCAATCTAATTTAGACAACCATTGAAAACCTAAAAGCACCGGATGACCATTTCGTCCTAGTATAAAGCCCTCCAGCAATGTGCATCCACGACCTTGCATGAAGAAATCCAACCTGGAATCTCTGGCCTCGTGCGCCAACGCCTAACGTCTGGACCAGCGAGCTTGACATCCTTTGTTGTTAGTGTTTAACTTTAATTGATCCATGATATTGCGCGACTGTCCTCCATCATGTGCCCACCAGTGACTAGCTTCGAAAAGTTCTTGGTTCTAATGAGCAGCTGTGACCAGTGGACCTAGCTCATGACGAGGATGAAGCAGTTACTCGCCAAAGACAATGGAAGATGGTCGCATAATATTGCGGATGGGTTATATTCAGTGGTCTAGGCATCGAGCATTCGTTAGTACCAAAGTTGAATTGCAATATGTAGGTCCCTAACAAAGTCATGTAAGAACGCATTCAATGTTAGATTATCTAACTTTGAAATGAAAGTTACTTTCAGTATGTGATAGTTAGAAGTATTTGTAAAGACTTCCTCCAACTATCACCCTACATCCCAACATAGTGTATGTGATTCCGAGCTACGAAGACTAATGAATG